AACTAATAAAATTAGATCTATTTTATATATTTATTCATTAATTAGTTTAAATCTTATATTAAACTTTTGTTTTGAAAAAAAAAGATTGTGGCTTTTTATTTTATTTTTGTTTAAAACAGATATCCAAAAAAATCTGGATATCCGTAATCTCGGATAACCGAAATTTTTCGAAACAAAGTAAATCGAAAAATTAGATATCCGTCAAAAACAAATCGAGTCGCAAATACTGCATTTTTTCCGGATATCCAATCCGCTCCCACACCTAATGTACACCGTTACATGACCTCTATCCTATCCTTGCCCAACCATTATCCTTAATGTTCAGGCCTAGTTTATGTACTTGCAAAGGAAGCCATGTCCGCTTATGAAATAAAGAAGAAGATGAAATAATTAGTCATGTGTGAAACACGTTGGAAAGAGAAAAGACGCTGTCAAAGACTTAAAAAAGATTCGTTTACTTGTATCAAAGCTAGTTTCTAACAAGTAGGGTGATTTACCGATTTCATGTTGGGATTTGGTTCGAGATAGGCTGGAAGAACACCATTTAGAGAGGATGTGTTAGAAATTTCATATTGGAAGTTATGATAAAACTCAAGTAATTTATAAGGGACATAGATCAATAATTTTGAGCTGAAATTTCATAAAAGTTAACATAATATCAAACTTATGCTTAAAGTTTTAAATATCCTAATGGCCTAACATCACACGAAACCAAAAGATCACAAAAATCCAATAGCCACCAGAAATTCACAATTTTAATATTATAGTCCTATTCGTTTACTTATCGCGCGACAGAGAGGAGCGATCATGATTTTTTTTTTCTTTTTTCTGAATTGAATGTAAAATTTATTCAAAACAAATAAATGTTTTTACAATGATTGTGACCTTGTTTATGAATTTAACTTGAACTTTTTGAAAAAAAGTTTGGGGTAAATAGGAGAAGAGAGCAATGCCTTCAACACGAACTGAACCAAATCACTAATCCCTCGGCGACCTAGGATTAGTGCCGCGAATGGATGCTACCCTATTACGGATTTGTTTATCGATTTGTTGAATGAGAGTAAATGTAGACATAGGAGAGTCACCATGTCTTCTACGATTTCTTTCCTGCCAAATGTGGTATATCGTGGCTTGGAACACGTAACGAATGAGGAATTGGGTAATCAAATCATGAGAGTTGATGGTGAGAAACTCTACAGTATCATCCCAAGAGGTTTCGTGTAAGTCCAGACCATACTTCCTCCGTAACGCGACAATGAAAAAACAGATGATTCCGAGTTTCTACAGGGTCTTGACAAAAGATACACGACCTTTGTGCTTTCACA